TCCCGGGGCCGGGCTGTGGCCTGACAAATTCTGGCTAAAAATAACCAGGGGCGGGTGAAAACAATGAGGTGTGGGACGGTCACACATCCTGTGAGAGCACCGGGAACTTCCCAAACCTGGGACTGGGGCACAACCTGCCTGCTGGGAGCCCTTTTGGCTGCTCTTGGCTCCAACCCCCTCCTCCTCTGTCTCAGCGTCTCTGCCTTGTGAAATGGCTCCTGTGCTGCCGAGTGGAACCAAACTTCAATCTGATCTCGGCAGGAAAAGATTAGAGATGAAAGATTAAAGCCCTCGACTCGCCTCCGAGTGAGTCAAAGCCAAGAGAAAAACCTGATTTTCCCCGGGGTTCAGTCACCAATTCTGATTCTCCCGCATGGATAAAACTGCCCCTGTCAAACTCCTGCTTATAAAAGAGTATCTGAGGAACCGGGATCACCCCCTGACCCTCCATAAAACCCGCTGCTGCATCCCCCGAGCGCCGGAGCTCAGGCTCCCGCCCTCTGCAAGCACTTCCCTGCTTCCAGGGAAAAGCAGCCGCTGCCGATATTTTATCATTACAATCATGCAACTCCAGTTAAAGAAAAAAAAACACGGGACCTCAGAAAGTGTGTCAAAAACGAGCACTTTCGCTTTCAAAACGCCGCCCGACACCCACCTCTGCCTCTCGCCCCGGCTCGTTCTGCTTCCAGGGAAAACACGGGGAAAAGCGGCTGCTGAGCCAGCCCAGGGCATCCCCCGCTCCCAGCTCCAAAAGCTCCAGAGCAAAGGGCCGAGAGGCCCCAGAGGGCACGGGGAGCTGTGGGAGCAGAGGGAAGGAGCCCCTCGGACCCGCCCGGCTGCCCCGGGAGGGGACACGGAGCAGGGGACACAACCCCCTCCTCTGCACGTCGGGGGCCCCAAACCCGGTACTATCCCCTTGCAGGTCTGGAGACCCAGCAGCGACCACAGAACGCGGCTGGGAAAACCAGGAGTGACCAAAAGCACCTGTCCTGCGGGAACAGCCCGTCCGGGGGCATTTACCGGAGCTCTGCACCGGGGCTGCTCCCGGGCGACGGCTCGGGGCTCGCCGCCGGCCCCAACCCGGGGCTCGCCGCCGGCCCGGCGCTGCCTCCGCTCGCAGCCCAAGCAGAGCCAGCAGCTGAATCACCCGGGCTGCCACACTTCTGCAGGGCCTCCAAAAATAACTCCGCTGGAAATTCCTTGGAGGCACAAACCTCGCTTCAGCAAGGACTGCAGAGATCCAGTTTCCTTAGTGGAGCAGACTGGATGTGAACTGGCCCGAGCGTCTCGGAGCACACGGAGAGGGGACAAGGAGCCCCCTTCTCACGGGGACAGGAGACAGTCACAGAGCCCATCCCGGAACAACCCCTCTGCCCAGGGATCACGCACCGATCCCGGTCCTCCTGCTGCCACCACGGCTCCAGGGCCTGCTCCCTGCCCTGCTCCCACCACCCAGTTTTGCTCGCAAAGTCAAACCCTTCCCGGGGTCTTTCATCCAAACACCCGCCCCTTGCCCAGCACCCCAAACCCCTCCCTGAGCTCCAGCCTGGAGAGCTGCTGCCTCGCCCCACACAGCACCGAAACGAGGGTCTGGAATTGCTCAGCACCTTTTCTCCTGCCCAAACCCCCAGGTGGGATCCTCTGGATGCCGGCGGCGGGGGCTCGGAGCCTCCCGGGGGCTGAGCAGCACGTGGCGCTCGGTGTTTTGGCTTCCTGGGAGCCAAATCCCATTCCAGAATCCCTCTCCAGAACCCTTCCCGGCCCCCTCACCTGCAGGGACGCGGCTCAGGGGGGGTGCAGGACCCCCGCAGATTCCCGTCCTGCTCCCACAGCTCCCAGCAGGATTTACGGACCGGGCTCCAGCGCTGACCTCGGGACTGTCACAAGGACGCAGAGCCCACGGAGGTGTCCCCGGCTCCCGGCCAGAGCCTGGCTCCAGGGGGAAAATCCCCAGGGGCTCGGCTCTCCGGCCTTTTTGGCTGGAATGGGGGTGGTTTTGGGGCGGAGGCGACGGGAATAGGGGGATACAGAGCAGCTGGGAGTCAGGGCTCTGCTACCTGCGCTCCTCAGGTGGGAACCGCTCCGTCCCTGGGGCGGGGGGACACGACCCCGGGAATGCCCCACACCTGGGAACGTGCTTAGACAGAACTTAAACCACCGGGATTTCGGAACGGCTCCCGGCCAGACCCGCAAACAGGTGAAACAGCGCCAACAACCCCAAACCCCCCGCCCGCTGCCGGGTGATGCGACTGCGCCCGGACGAGCCCGACGGTCCAAAGGAGCTGGAATGTAAAACTTTCGGCCCAAACGCCGGAGCCCCGCGACAACAAACCCGGGGCGTTCCGGCCCCCCGAGCCCCGCGGGTCCCAGCCCGGGGTCAGCGGGGGCTCCGCGCACGTTTTGCCCAAATCCCCGCGGAACGGCCCCAAAGCGGGGCTGGGGCGGGCGGGGCCGGGCCGGGCCGGGGCCGTTCCGGGTGTCCCGGCGGGTCTCACCTGCGATGGCCGTGTCGTCCAGGTGCGATCCGGGGGCCCGCTCGGCGCTCCCGGGATGCGGCGGCAGCAGCAGCAGGACGAGGGAGAGGCCGCACAGCGCCCGCACGGCCCGGCCCGGCCGCCGCTCCATTTCCGCGTGCCCGCCGCCGTCAGCTGCGGCTCGGCATCGGCCCGGGCCGGGGGTCCCGCTTATCCCGGCGATCCCGCAGATCGCGACGATCCCGCTATCCTGGCACCGCCGGAGCTCCGCCGCGCTCCGGGTACCGGAACGGCCCCCCCCGCCCGCAGTGGGCTCTCCCAGCACAGCCCCCCCGCCGCAGTGGTACCTCCCGGGACAGTCCCAATTGTCCCGCACACAGTGGGCTCTTTCCGGGATAACCCCTCTCGCCACCCGCCTCTCTGCCGGGACAGCCCCGCTCTCCTCTCTCCCTTAACCCCTCCCCGGCTCTCTCCGTCCACCCTCCGCCTTCTCGCAACGGTGCCGCCCGGAACCGCCGCTGCGTGTGCGCTGAGACGGCCCCGCCCCCCCCCGGCCGATCACAGTGGTCTCGCCCGCCGTGAGGCGCACCCGGCCCCGGAGCCGCCCCGCGCGCCCACAGGGGGCGGGGCCAGATCGCACCACGCCCATCGAGGGACGGGACCAGCCGGGGGCGGGCGCGTGACCACGCCCCCCGCTACCGCCCACCCGCGCGCGCCGCTGTGGCGCAGCGCCCCCTGGCGGCCACAGCGGGCGGGGAAGCTCAGCAGGGCCGGGCCCGGGCGGGGCCTGGATGGGTGACCCGACCCCGCATCGAGTCCGGGGGGGGACGCGGCACCCCGGCCCCGCGGGCTATCACCGCACACGGACCGCCACAGCACCCCGCTTTGTCACAGCACCCCGCTTTGTCACAGCACCCCGCTTTGTCACAGCACCCCGCTGTCACAGCACCCCGCTGTCACAGCACCCCGCTTTGTCACAGCACCCCGCTGTCACAGCACCCCGCTGTCACAGCACCCCGCTTTGTCACAGCACCCCGCTGTCACAGCACCCTGGGCTCATCGGGGCACCCCAACACATCACAGCACCCCAGCTCCTCACAGAACCCCGGAGTATCAGAGCACCCTGACCCCTCAGAGCACCCCGTCTCACTGGGCAGAGCTGTTTTGACGCCCAACCACGTGGTTTGTCACTCACATTGGGGCCGGGGACACTTCGGCACCGCCCGAGAGCTGTGACACCTCCAGGGCCTCGCCCTCCCGGTGCCATCGCTGCACCGGTGCCACCCGTGCCCGGAACCCACCAGCCCGTGGGGGGCACGGGAAGGTCCCACCGGGTCCCACCGCGGCCTGCCTGCTCCAACAAGAGTCACGTTTGTCCCCGGAGGGGTGCTTGTCATCAGCCAGGAGCCCCAGGATGCGGGATGGGGGTCCCAGGATGAGGGATGGGGGGTCCCAGGATGAGGGATGGGGGTCCCAGGATGAGGGACGGGGGGTCCCAGGATGAGGGACGGGGGGTCCCAGGCTGCAGGGCAGGCACCTCGTAGGGACCCCCAGCCATGGCAGTGCCCAAGTTGGGACATGGGGCTGGGGATCTCCAGGCTGAGGGGTCCCCAGTTGGGTCCCAGTCCTGGTCCCCTGTGCTGGTGGGGGGGACAGGGCAGGGGGTCCCACACCTGCAGACCCCGGGATGAGGACGGGGACAGACCACTCACTCCCCAGGGAACTGCCCCCCCTCCAGCCCCGGGTGACCCACACGAGCCCCTCCTGCCCCAGGGACCTCCAAGGGCTGTGGGTTCTGTGGGGGAGGCCTGGCCCCTATGGAGACCCCCAGCTCAGGGGTCTTGGCCCTTGTGGGGACTCTCAGAGCACCTGGGGCTCCCCTGGCCCTGACCCAGCAGGACAAGGCTGTGCTCAGGGGGCTTTGACCCCACAGCAGCCCAGGACCCCCCATTCCCCCTTGGGATGCAGCAGGGTGGCCCCAGGCCCCCCGGGCAGATGGTCCCCACTGTGCCCCCACCTGATCCTCACCCCGACCCCGAGGAACCCCAAGGCCCTGGGTGACCCCCATGTCCCCAGGGAGCCCCCGGTGGGGTTTGTCCTAGGTGGGGTCATGGTGAGCGCCGGGGTGGGGGGTCGGGGTGGGGGCCAGGCAGCCGGGAGAGGGTCTCTGCTCCCGGCCCGGCCCCGGGGGCTGCGGGTCCCCGCTCGGGGTGGTCCCGTGGGGTGCGGAGGTGTGCGGGGGTCCCGCGCGGGGGTCGCGCCCCGAACCCTCGGCAGCCTCAGCCCGCAGCCCCGTCCCGGTGCCCGCAGCCCCGTCCCGGTCCCGCTCGGGGGGCGGCCCGAGGGGCCGGCGGTGGGCGCGGGGGCTGCGCTCCCCCGGGACCCCGCGGAAGGAAGCGGCGGGCGGGGGAAGTTTCTCCGCGGGACCGCCCGGGGCGGCGGGAGGAGGCGGCCGCAGACTTCCTCCTCCTCCTCCTCTTCATCCTCCTCCTGCTCGTTCTCGCCCTCCTCCTCCCGCCGCTGCCCCGGCCCCGCGCCGCCGCCGCGCCATGTCCCGGGGTGAGTGCGGGGCCGGGGCCCGGGGGGGCTCCGAGGGGGGACGGGAGGTCCCGGGGACGGGGGTCCCGGGGGGTCCCGGGGGGTCCCGGGGCCGGGTCGGGGCGGCGGGAGGAGCCGCCCGTCGGGGCCAGGGCGGGGGAGGCGACAGCGGGACCGCCCGGAGCGGGATAACGGGGATAACGGGACTGCCGGGGATAACGGGACTGCGGAGGACATCGGGGCTAACGGGGGTCCGGGATAACGGGACTGCCGGGGATAACGGGACTACCGAGGCTACCGGGGTTCGAGGACAACGGGGCTACCCAGGCTACCGGGGGTCCGGCGATAACGGGGCTATCGGGGATAGCGAGGGTCCGGGGATAGCGGGGGTCCGAGATTAACGGGGGTCCGGGGATAGCGGGGATCCGGGGATAGCGGGGGTCCGGGGATAGCGGGGGTCCGGGGATAGCGGGGGTCCGGGGGAGCGCAGTTTCGGGCGACAGCGGGACAGAGCGCTTTCAGCCGCCGGGACCGAGCGGGGACGGAACCGGCCCGGCCCGATCCCCTCGGCGAGGCCACTGCACCCACTGCGCCCCCCGCCACTGCACCCCCGCACCCCCGGCCCCGCAGCCCCCCCCGGCCCGGCGCTGCAGGGGCTGCGCTGCACAGCGGGGGGCGCTGCACGGCCCGGGACCCCCCGGACTGACCCCTGTGCCGGGACCCCACTGACCACCCTGCGGCCGGTGACCCCCTGGCAGTGACCCCAGTGACCCCCCCTGCACTGAGCACCACTACAGTGACCCCCCTGCAGTGACCCCCCTGCAGTGACACCCCTGCACTGACCCCACTGCCCCCCAGCTCACTGCCCTGCAGACATGTCACACACACAGACATGTCACACACACAGACATGTCACACACACACATCACACACACAGACATGTCACACACACACATCACACACACACAGACATGTCACACACACACATCACACACACAGACATGTCACACACACAGACATGTCACACACACAGACATGTCACACACACACGTCACACACACACACACACATCACACACACACATCACACACACAGACATGTCACACACACAGACATGTCACACACACAGACATGTCACACACACACGTCACACACACAGACATGTCAGACCCCCCCACACGTCACACACACACACACACACATTACACACACACAGACACATACACAGAGAGACATGTCACATACACATATCACACACATCACACACAGACACACGTCTCACACCCACCCCCCCACAGACACACACCCCCCCCCACACCCCCACAGACCCTGCAGCCCCACACCCCGTGCCCTGCTCCGCTGTCCCACGTGTGCAGCACCCACGGCCCAGCCGGGGCTGTCCCTGGGGGGACGGGGTGGGTGCAGCCCCTGCCGTGGGTGCTCGTTGTGGGGCCACCCCGGGGCCACCCTGGAGTCTCCGTGGTGCCCCCAGCAGGCACTGAGTCAGTGCCACAGCCCTGTGACAGTCAGAGCAGGGACACCCTGGCACCCTGAGAGCTCGGGGCACCCGGAGCACCCCTGGATGGTCCTGGTGGTGCCAGGAGGCAGGTATGGGCTGTGCCCTGTGTGGGGTTTGGCTGTGCCATGGAGAGCTCTGGTGCTGGTGCTGGTGCTGCCTGCCCTGCTCTGGGCCCTGCTCTGGGCCCTGCTCTGGGCCCCGCCCGCGGCTCCACCGGCCCTGGGAGCAGTGCCAGGCTCTTCTCCCAGCCCGAGGCCATGGAGCCTGGCCTGGCTGGACCCATCCTTCCATCCTTCCATCCATCCGCCCACCCATCCATCCACCCACCCCTCCATCCATCCCTCTTTCCATCCATCCATCTGTCCTTCCATCCATCCATCCTTCCATCTATCCATCCATTATCCATCCATCCATCATCTATCCATCTATCCACCCCATCTGTCCATTATCCATCCTCCATCCTTGCATCATCCATCCTGTCCATAATCCATTGCCTCCATCCTTCATCCATCTCTCCATCCACCCTCCATGCATCCTCCATCCATCTCTCCATCCATCCTCCATGCATCCTCCATCCACCCATCTCATCCAACCCTCACTATCCATCCACCCCTCCATCCATCCATCCTGCATCCATCCAACTCGTCCATCATTCATCATGTCCATCATCAATCCTCTATCCATCCTCTCCCCATCCTCTATCCATCTGTCCATCCAACCCCCATCTATGCATCCATCATCCATCATCCATCCATGCATCCATCCATCCATCCACCCAACCATTCATCCGTCCTCCCTCCATCCACTATCTCTCCATCCATCCATCCACCCATCCATCCATCCATCCATCCATCCATCCATCCATCCATCCATCCATCCATCCATCCATCCACCCACCCATCCATCCATCCATCCATCCATCCATCCCAGGATCCCCCCACTGCCAGCCAGGAGCAGTGGCCGGGTTGGGGACCCTGGGGGTCCCCACATTCCCCTGGGGGGTCTCTGCCCCAGCTCCAGTCCCAGAGCTGCAGAGCTTTGGCAGTGCCCGGGGCAGAGGCTGAGGGACAGAGCAGGACCCAGCCTGGGAGGGAAATAAAATGAGGAAATTAGTCATGACAGCTGGAAAATGAGGGAAATCAAAACCCTCCGACTCAGCAGGGAGGTTATTTTAGCCACCACGGCAGGGCCAGGGCAGAGCTGGGGGGGCCTCGGGGGTCCCCCGTGGCCATGGACCCCCAGGGGGTCCCTGCTTGGGATTTAGAGCTTTCAGTGATTTCATTAATTCCCTCTTTGTGCTGCTGGGCCGGGGCAGTGCTGGGGGGCTGTGCTGTGCCCTCCCCCCAGGGCAGGAGGGACCCCGGGGACCAGGGTGGGGACCAAAGTGGGGACCCCCGACCCCACGTGGGCCTGGGCATGTCTGTCTGTCCGGGAGGGACCCGCCGGCCAGGGAGGGGTGTCTGGGGAGGGTGGGGGGCACAGGGTGGGGCTCAGGGGGCACGGTGGGGGCTGAGGTGCCCCAGGTGGGGCCCAGCATGGGCTCTGTGGTGTGGGGTGTGCGGGGGCTGTGGGGCAGGGGGTGCCTCCTGGGGGGTGAAGGGTCAGTCTGGGGAGGTGGAGACAGGTTTGGGGCCGTGGGACGGCGCTGGCAGTGGGAGGGGACCCCATGGGAGCGGCTGCTCTGCTCCCCTGGCGGAAACCCCCGGGGGCTGCCCCGGCTGGGAGCACTGACAGAGGGTTTTGCTTCCCCTTTCTGCTGGAGAAGAGATGAGTCTCTTTTCCCGTCCCAGGGAGAGGGGCAGTGGGGGGATCGCTGTGCACACCCACAGCCTCTCCCCAGCACCCAAATCTCTGAGCGTGGGGTGTTCCACTGGGGTCGGGGTGCTGAGCCCCCTCCCTGCTCCAACTCTGCCTCCTCTGGGTCCCCTCCCGTGGGGCTGGGAAGGGGCAGGTGCCCCCTCTGGGCTGTGCCCTCCGTGGGCTGTGCCCCTCAGCCCCACGACACCTCCTGTACCCACATTCCCAGGGGGGCAGAAGGGGCTAAAGGTGGTGCTGCCGTGGGTTTCCTGGGAGAACAGAGCTGGCCTGGTGCCGGGAGCAGAGCTGGCAGCAGGGGGGGCAGAGCTGGCAGCAGGGGGGCAGAGCTGGCAGCAGGGGGGGCCGGGGTGGAGGGCTGGGGGCACACTCACATTTGCCCTGTGGGCGTGGGCAGCACGGCCGTGCCTGCAGGTCCCCTCCTCGTACCACTGGCACCTCGTACCCGGCGCTGGCAGTGCCCAAACCCTCCTGTGTGAGCACTGGGGTCCCACCATGGCCTCTCCACGGGCACCGTGTGTGCCCACGTTTGCTGGGTGCTGGTGACAAACCTGGGGCCACCCTGGGGTTCCACAGCCCCAGAGGCGCTGGGTGATGGAGAAGTGGCTCCCTGCCTGCTGTCCCCTCCTCCTCCTCCTCCTCCTCCTCCTTCTCCCCCTCCTCTCCCTTTCCCCACAGCGATGCTCTCATGGGCACGAGCATTTCCTCATGTGCCCCATCCCCTTCCTCAGCCCTGCTGACTCGGCCCGGGCCTTTCCCGGGATGGGGATGGTGCCCCTGGGTGCCAGCTCATCCCAGGATGCCAGTGGCCAGTTTGGGGGTGCAGGGTTTGGGTTTGGGGTGACCAGTGCTGGCCATGTCCGTCTCTGGGATCGTCACAAGGCCACGGCTGGTGCTTGGGGGTCACATTTCTCCCCGAGGGATGGGGATCTGTGGGCAGGGGGCCACTGCTTTGTCCCTGTCCCTGTGCCCTGGGAGAGCTGCCCCCCCCCATTTCTGGCCATGGTGGCTTCCCCATGCCCCCCGGGGGCTCCTGCCCAGCTGAACCCACCCTCCCTGTCCTGGGGTCTGGGGCTGCTGCGGGACACCTCTATTCCCACCTTGGCTGGGTGACCCTTGCTGGGTCCCAGGACACACTGCCCCAATCCAGGGGATCCCCAATGTCCCACCCCAACCAGCCCTGTCTGGCAGTCAGGGGACCCCAGACTGGGGGGCAGTGGGGACACTCAGCTGAGCCCGTGGTGTGTGTGTTGTGGGACGGCTGCCCAGCAGGCAAACAGGGACCTTGGGGTGCCCGTGTGGACACTGGTGACCTTGGGGTGGTGACCTTGGGGTGCCCGTGGGTGCTGGGGACATTGGTGACCTTGGATTGCTGGGGGCTGCCTGTGCCTGCCCCGGGCTGAGCCCCCCCGGCCCTGGGGCACTGCACTGGTGCAAACCGGTGCGAGGAGACCGCCAGGCTGAGTTTCCTCCCAAACCAGAGGCCGAGGGCGGGGGGTTGTTGTGACCCCCCCGGGATCCCGCCGGACCAGCAGCTTCCTGCCGGGGGTGGGGACCCTGCGCCGGCCCCGCCGCTCCCGTTCCCACGCCGAGGGCCGGGGATCCCCCGCCGTGGCAGGGGGTTTGCAGGGGGCACTGAGGCCCGGCGGGGTGTCGGTGGCCCCGGTGGGGCGGGTGGAGGGGCAGGGTGGGGGTCACGGCCCAGCCTCGCGCAGGAAGCCGCGTGTCAGGCCGGGAAGAGGAAGAGTGACTTCCCCATCCGAGGGGGCAGGGGCTCGGCCCCGTCCCCCCTTCCCGGCCCTGCAGCCCCGGGGGGCTCTGGGGAAGGGGAACCCCCAGCCCGGGGCTCTGCGGCTTCTCCGCCCTGGACCTCTGCTCCGTCCCATCGTGGTGCCACGTGAGCCGGGGCTCCAGCCTTCCCACCAGAATCCCTCTGGAATCCCTCCGGTGGGCACCAGCTGCCAGTGCCAGATCCCAGTGGGAAAGGGGCTGCCAGCCCCAGGAGTGGGCACCCTCCTGCCCAGCTCTGTGTGGTGTCCCCACCTCAGCTGGGCTGGGCTCGGCAGCAGGAAGGAGAGCAGGATGCGGCCCTTAATGGGAATTGCAGAGGGAACCTGAGGAAGGGAAACGCGCCGGGATCGGGGATAAACACAGCTGCTGGAGCTGCTGGAGCGGACATTGGCCTCTGCCCCGCCAGGACCCGCCCTGGCCCCACTCAGTGTGGGCAGGACCGGGGCTGGGACACGCGGTGATGTCCCACACGGTGATGTCCCACGGGGTGATGTCCCACGGGGTGATGTCCCACACGCTGCCACAGCCCAGCCCTGCCCCTGCTCCCTGCCCGGCCCCTGCTGTCCCGGTCCAGGCCAGGGGCACGGTATGGCACGGCACAGGATGCTGCCACAGCCTGGCTGGCGTGGACACACTGCCCTGGGGTCAGTGTGGTCCCTGTGCACACCAGCCACCGTGGCACAGGCGCTGTCCCTGGGTCAGGGCAGGCAGGTCCCCACTGGGGGGTCTCTGCACACCTCAGGGGCTGCTGGAGGGATGTGCTGGGCCAGGAAGCTCATCTGGGCTGTGGGTTGGAGGGGGAACCAAGGGTGAGCTGAGTGTGACCCCTCTGCACCCTCTGGCCCCGGGGGGGCCACGGTGATCCAGCCCCAGCCATCCCTGACCCTTTCCCTCCCTGCAGGCTGCTGAGGGGGACGTGAGGGACGCCAGGACGCCGGGATGCAGAGCATCAAGTGCGTGGTGGTGGGCGACGGGGCGGTGGGGAAGACCTGCCTGCTCATCTGCTACACCACCAACGCCTTCCCCAAGGAGTACATCCCCACCGTGTTCGACAACTACAGCGCCCAGAACACGGTGGACGGCAGGACTATAAACTTAAACCTGTGGGACACGGCCGGCCAGGAGGAGTACGACCGCCTGCGGACGCTTTCCTACCCCCAGACCAACGTCTTCATCATCTGCTTCTCCATCGCCAGCCCGCCCTCCTACGAGAACGTCAAGCACAAGTGGTACCCCGAGGTGTGCCACCACTGCCCCAGCGTGCCCATCCTGCTCGTCGGCACCAAGAAGGATCTGAGGAACAACCCCGAGACCATGAAGCGGCTCAAGGAGCAGAACCAGGCGCCCATCACCACCCAGCAGGGCATCAGCCTCTGCAAGCAGATCCGCGCCGTGAAGTACCTGGAGTGCTCGGCGCTCAACCAGGAGGGCATCAAGGATGTGTTCACCGAGGCCGTGCGGGCCGTGCTCAACCCCGCCCCGGCCAAGCCCAAGAAGCCCTGTGTCCTCTTGTGACGGGCGGGCGAGAGACGATCCTGCCCTGCCCCGGCCCCGCCGCCCCGAACACCACGTGCCCCCCGAACACCACGTGCCCCCCGAACACCACGTGCCCCCCGCCCGCCCTGCTGCTCCCCGAGCCTCGGGGGGACCGGGGCCGCCAGCCCGAAGCCACCAGCTTTAATAATACAGACCTCGTTTGCACTAACTGGCTGCCCGCCCTGAGGGCACCGGGGCTCCCCCAGCCCTCAGGACCCCCCGGCCCCGCGGGCCCCCCGGCCCTGGCTGTCGGCGCTCCTTTGGGTGACGCCTCTCCGGCCCTGGCACGGCAACGCTTCCTGAGAAGGGGGTGCCCGGGGTGGCCGAACCTGCTCCTGCCCTGAGCACCCCACGGGGACCTGCCATCCCCACCCCTGCACCAGCAGGGGTGTGGGGGGACCCCCGGCCCCTCTGTGCCAGCCCCAGCGCGTGCCCACCCCGGAGCATTTCACTGGCACAGCCCTGGCACGGCCTCGTCCTGCTGCAGGGGCAATGCCAGGGGCTCCTGGGGGCTGTTTGGGGTGACCCCCACGCTGGGGATGTCCGGCCCTGTGGTGAGCGGAGCTGGTGCAGCCGGAGCAGGGAATTCCTGTGCCGGAGCTCCGCAGGGCAGCGGGACTCTCCTGTAACCAGCCGGCCCCCGAGCTGCTTCTGAAATAAAGACCCGCCCATTTCCCCTGTGTCCTGTGCTCTCCTGTGCTCTCCACCTTCCCCAGGCGTGGGGACACTCCCTGGGGGGACCGGTGCCCCTGTCCCGAGCTGGGCAGGACCCCTCACCCTGCCAGGCCAAGCTGAGGGTGCTCCTGGTTCCTGCTGGGGGTCTCTGCCCAGAGGGAACCGTGGCCAGGGAAGCTTGGGGTGTCCCTGCCATGGCCAGCCCTGACCCCCTCCATCCCTGTGCCCAGCTGAGCCCTCCCGGGAGGCTTGGGGACATTGCAAGGGACAGGAATGGGACACTGCAGGAGGTGGCCAGGGGGCCATTGCACTGGGTGGGAATGGCGACATGGGATGGGGACACTGCAGGGGTGGGGACATGAGCAGGGACCCCTCCCTGGGAGCCCTGGGGCACTCCGGCTCTGGCGCTGCCTCCGGAGCGGGGGGGTGAGGGCAGAGCCCGTGTCCCCACACCCAGGGCTGTCCTGGGGGTCCCCGGAGGGTGAGGGCAGAGCCCGTGTCCCCACACCCAGGGCTGTCCTGGGGGTCCCCGGCGGGTGAGGGCAGAGCTCCGGTGGCTGCCGATGGTGGCAGGGAGGGACCGGCGCATCCCCGCTCTCAGCCCCTCGCTGCCCCCCCGGCACGTGCTGGCGGGCGGCCGGATCCGGGGGGGCTGGCAGGGCCCCAGTGCCGGGACACGGGCCCCTTGTCCGGCCCCGGGGCCTTCCTGCAGGAAGGGCAGAGACCCGGAGTCCGCCACAAGCCGCCTTTGTTCCCTGCTCCGCTTCCCGGCCGGAGCCGCGGCTGCCGGGGCCGGCGTGGGCGAGGGAGCCGCAGGCGGGGGGGCTCCGGCCACGGCCCCTCTCATGGCCCCGCCTGGGGCAGCCCCGGGGCCGGGGCAAAGCCCCTCCAGACCCCCACCCTGGGGAAGCCCACGGCGAGGGGACACGGCCCCAGCCCGGCCCCGGGGGGCTGCACAACAGCGGGCTGGGGGGTCCCGGCTGCACCAAATCCATGGGGATCAAACCAAATGTCCTGCTCCCACTGCAGGGACCCCCACAGCCACGTCCTGCTCCCACTGCGGGGTGTCCCCACAGCCACGTCCTGCTCCCACTGTAGGATGTCCCCAGGGCCGTGTCCTGCTCCCACTGTAGGATGTCCCCACAGCCGTGTCCTGCTCCCACTGTAGGGTGTCCCCATGGCCGTGTCCTGCTCCCACTGTAGGGTGTCCCCATGGCCGTGTCCTGCTCCCACTGTAGGGTGTCCCCATGGCCGTGTCCTGCTCTCCGCGGTGCCACCCCGGCGGGTTCCAGGGCAGAAGCGGATGCTGGGACGAGGTGGGGACCGTAGGATGCCGCGAGCGGGACACGGCCCTGCCCCGGCACAGCGGGATGAGCTCATGGCCGGTCCCCTCCCAGCTGCTCCCGGCGCGGCCCCAGCGAGGGCAGGGCCCCACCTCGGCCCCCCCGATCGGGGCAGGGAGAACCGAGCCCCCGGCAGCTCCCCGGCCCCTGCCCAGCCCCGGACCCCGGCGGTGCCATTCCAGCCCTCCTGGCTCCAGGTCCCGTCCCCGGGGCTGTGCCGGCCCCCGGAGCCGCAGCATCCATAGGATCTGCAGGATCCCCAGCCAAGCCAGCGGCCCTCGGGGCTGGGCGGGGAGCGGCCGCCAGCTGCGGGGTGGGCTCAGCCCGGGAGTCCCACACCTCCAGCCCGGATCCTGGCTGGCTCCCAGCCTGGCTGAGCCTTCCCTGACGTCATCCAGCACCCCGGAGCCATGTCCCACATCCCAGCCCCAGCCAGCCAGGAGCCGGAATCCACACCCCAGGGATCACATCCTGCATCCAGGATTCGCATTCCAGCTCCAACACCGGGGATCCACATCCCACATCCCAGTCCCAGGGATCTGGGGCTTCAACACCCAGGATCCACATCCCACATCCCAGCCCCAACCCCAGGGATTTATATCCCACACCCCAGCTTCAACATCTGGGATACACATCCCACATCCCAGTCCCAGTTCCCAGGGTCCATGTCCTGCATCCCACTCCAGCTCCCAGCCTGGCCTGGGGTCCTGGGACGCGCTGGCCGTGCCGCTGGGAGCGGTGTGGATGTGGAGTTTGCCAAGAGCTCACAAAAATACTCAGTGCTTTATTTCCACCCAAAGCCACGGCGCTGACGGGGCAGCGCGTCACACGCATGCAGGGACACGGAGGGGGCCATGGATGGGGCCACGGATGGGGCCATGGATGGGGACACCAGTGACGCACACAGGGCAGCACCTGGAGCCAGCCTGGCCCCACTCAGCCAGGGCCCCACAGCTCCTGCTGGAGGAGGCTCAGCCCAGCCCTGGGAGCACAGGGATGAGCACCGGGACATCCCAGGGGACTCCTGGTGGGGAAAGGCAGGGAGGGACCCACGCCGGTCCTTCCCGGCCGGGTGTGGGGTGGGATGAGCCCTGACAAGCACAGAGCTCTCCAAAACCACGTCAGCTCCAGGTGCCCCTTCCAGCAGCACTGCCAGGAGGAGCCTGGGGATGCTGCCAGCCCCCAGCTCCCACCCTGCCGTGCCCACGGTGCCCTTGCAGCCAGAGCCCGCACACGGGGGACACTGCTGGACCCCAGCAGTTCCCAGCTCCAGCCCCACAGCACAGGGGAATCCACGTGGATATCGGGGCAGGGACCTCCAGCACCAGCCCCCCCGCCCTTCCTCCCCAAACTGGGCTGGAACTGGGGCACAGCCCCCCTGGGAGCAGTCTGTGCTGCTGGGGGGGTTTCTGGGAAAGGCAGGAAGGAGAGTGTGGATGCTCCCACACCTGCCCCACTCCCTGCAGTCCGTGCATGGGCCGGCACCTCCCCGCTCCCCTCCCGGGAACTCAGGCAGGATGGGCCAGGATCCTGCCCCAGTCTCATGGGAGAGCAGTGCCCAGAGCCAGCCCCAAAGGCCACCAGCCCTTTCTGAGGGCCTGTCCCCGGACCCCCAGCCTGGGGGAGGAACCACGAGACCCCCCAGGCCAAGCAGGGCAGGGCTGGCCCCCCACGCCCCGATGCCAGGGGCAGAATCCTGCTCTGCCCGGAGCATCCTCCAAAGAAACAGGCAGCAGGTCCCTGTCCCTGCTCTGTCCTGCCCTCCCACAGCTGGCACGGAGCCAGAGCAGGGGGTCCCTGGGAAGAGCCCCCAGCTCCACTGTACGAGGGCTGCAGGCACAGCCAGGGACCACACACAGACACTCGGGGGGCCCGGGAGGATCCCTGGGGGGCCCAGGATCCCGGGAGGATCCTTGCAGCAGCTCCACAGCAAACCCCCTGCCCTGGCAGGAGAGGGAAGGGGCTCCCTGCCTCCCCCAGGAAGAGCAGCCCCCAGCAGCAGGGCTGGCTAGAAGTGCTTGTCCTCCAGCAGCGAGCTCACCACCAGCTCCTTGTTGCCGAAGTCCCAGAAGGCAGTCATGTGGAAGGCCATGTTGGAGAGGACGACCAGGTACTCCAGGAAGGCGAAGACGGTGTACACTGCAGGAGGGAACACAGCAGGTGAGGGCAACACATGGCTGGATCTGCCCCCAGGGCTGGGGGGTCTGGAGGGCACCTCCCTGGGACAGGAGGGCTCGGGCTGGGGGGCTCGAGCCCCACGGGAGGAGAAGGGCAGTCAGACATCAGCCCTCCCAGAGGAGCCCCCCTCGGCTGGGATTTGGAAAGTGAGGCATCACGTCAGGAGGGCATTGGACACCAGGAATAAGTGTGAGGAATTAGGAGGACTAGTGCCATGGTCTAGTTGAAATGGTGGTGATCAGTCACAGGTTGAACTTGATGATCTCAGAGGTCTTTTCCAACCTAATTGATTCTGTGACTGAATTTTTGGATATCAGGACAAACTTCTTTACTGAAAGGGTGACTAAACTTTGGCAGGGGCTGCCCAGGGAGGTTTGGAGTGCTCAGCCCTGGAGGTGTCCCAGGAAGGCCTGGCCGTGGCACTCGGTGCTCTGGGCTGGGGGCCAAGGTGGGGATGGGGCACAGGGGGGATCCGTGGGCTGGGAGGGCTTTTCCAGCCTCAGTGATGCCGTGATCCCCCAGTCCCTCCCTGCACAGCCCCCCTGCCCATGCCCGCACCTCCGGGGCCGCAGTACCAGTTGTGGTGGAAATACACACACACGGCGAACGCGAACGTGATGAAGGTGAAGAAGAAGAGCAGCTGCTTCCACTTGTACGACTTGCGCTCCTGGAAGAGACCCAGAGCTGGGTCAGTGCCCTGTCCCTGCCAGGACCCTCAGCCCTGCACACGACGGAGATGCCAGAGCAGCCACCCCCATCTCCATCCCCATCTCCATCCCCATCTCCATCCCCATCTCCATCCCCATCTCCATCTCCATCCCCATCCCCATCTCCATCCCCATCTCCATCCCCATCCCCATCTCCATCTCCATCCCCA